CCACACCCATCTGTACATGCCACACCCCTTTCAGCAGGTAGCTGGTATACAAAGCCGCTCCCTGTTCCATGTACTCAGACTTGCCATTGTGCATGAAGCCCCTCCTTGTGTACGGCATGCTGACCCGCCCCCTGCCCCCCCACTGTAGCGGTGCGCTCCCGCTTGCTGCGCCTGCGCTCCCTGTGGGATGAGATCCGGCAGCGGGCCGAGGAGCGGGAGAGCAAGCTGCAGGATGTGCTAGACCTGGCCGGAAAGTTCTGGGCCGACATGGCGGCACTGCTGAGCACGCTGCGGGAGTCCCAGGAGATTGTGAAGGACCTGGAGGACCCCGGCGTGGACCCCTCACTCATCAAGCAGCAGATCGAGGCCGCAGAGGTGATGCCTTATGGATGCATAGCGCTTTGTAATCATGTTCTGGAGCCTTAAACCGCAAAGAGCGATATTGCGTTTTCTTACGTGTTCTTTAGGCACTGACAATACAGACGCTCCTCTACTTACGATCTTTCAACTTACGAACTTTCAGACATTCAAACGAGAGGACTGTAAGTCCAAATTGTGTTCGTTGGGCTCCCATTTCCTGTCCGCAACAATTTTTTTTTTCTGCGTGCCAATTCCACCTAGTACGACTTCATGCCGCTACTCCCGCCACGCAGCAGCGTAGCGTGCGGACTCCCAGCATCCTAGCTCTTTGTACTTGCGTATACCCTTAAAATGATGTTGAATAACGACTTACGAACAATTTAAATTACGAACGGCTGTTTGGAACGTATCTCGTTCGTACGTAAATAGAGGAGCGTCTGTATTATTTTTTGGCAATTACTATCTCCTCTGGTCTCTCCGCTGATACCTGCTGGCACCAACGCCCACAGTCCTCACCCCCCCCGGTGTCTCTCCCCCCAGGCTCTCAAGGGCGAGACGGACGGCCTGCGAGAGGAGCTGGAGTTTGTTCGCACGTTGGGCGCTGACCTCATCTTCGCCTGCGGGGAAACTGAGAAGCCGGAGGTCAAGAAGACCATTGATGAGGTGCGGGGTTACCTGAACCCAGGGGTGATGGGGGGGTTACCTGAACCCAGGGGTGATGGGGGGGTTACCTGAACCCAGGGGTGATGGGGGGGTGCCTGAATGCGAGGGTGATGGGGGGAGGGCATTCTTCCAGGCGGTTTTACACATTTGAGCAGGAGCTGCTTCCTGCCCCCCACCTCAGCTTTATGACTGTCCCTCTCCTTCTCCCCCCCCCACCTCACACACATGCGCATCCCGGGCTTCCCGCCGCCAGATGAACACCGCTTGGGAGAGTTTGAGTCGGACTTGGCGAGAGCGGATGGAGAAGCTGGACGAGGCCATGTCTGCCTCGGTGCAGTACCAGGACGCCCTGCAGGTTGGTCCCGTGCTCCACTGGGTCGGCACAGCGCCACCATGCTCTTTGGGCAACCCAGCAGCCTGTTTCCATGCCGCCCCACAGGGCATGTTCGACTACTTGGACAACGCCGTGATCAAGCTGTGTGACATGCCCGCTGTGGGCACTGACCTGGGCACCGTCAAGCAGCAGATCGAGGAGCTGAAGGTCAGTGTCGCCTCCCGTTCCCTCCTCTTCCACCTTCATCTTCTGCATTTTCCAGTTTTCGCACCATTCCTCTCTTTACTGATCCTCGCTGTAAGAGGAGTCCATTTTTGTACTTTGCTCTTCATTTTTGCTTTGCTTGTGTTTAAACTCAATTCAGTCTCAAAGCTGTCGCTGCGCAGTTGTGCTCCATGATCACCGTTCTCTTGTCGCAGTGTGAACGCACAGTTGTAGTAAACTGACACGTAAGGTCAGAGCAACAACATCTCCGTGTCTCTCCCTGTGTGAGCAGCAATTCAAGGTAGAGGTGTACCAGCAGCAGATCGACATGGAGAAGCTCTGCCACCAGGGGGAGTTGCTGCTGAAGAAGGTGTCCGACCAGACGGACCGAGACATGATCCAGGAGCCACTGACCGAGCTGAGGCACCTGTGGGACAACCTGGGGGACAAGATCACGCAGAGACAGGTGCACTAAGTCGTCCTGGAGCAGCGGACAGGCTTCGCTTTGAATGGACAGATTCTGGGTCCCAGGGGAGCCTGCATTACCAGTGCTGGCAGTAACACGTTACAAAGTAACTCGTTACTGTAATTCCACTGCTTTTGGTGGTAATGAGTAATGTAACATTACTTTTTCACATAAGGTAACTGAAAATTAAATATGCTTGTTACTCGTCGCTAATTATTCCCCTAATTTCCCGTTTATGATCTAACACCATCTGACTTTACGGTGGTGCAGTGAATGGGTGACATTAGCTACAGTAATAGGTAAAATCTGACAGTTGTATTGTCTGGTACTGTGCAGCAGCAGCCCTGAAATAGCCACCCAGACAGCACACATGCATTGGCACAGTGTCTCTGCGATGCGCGAAAATCCATCGGCAAAGCGTCTCTATGGCAGAGACGTCGTTACTGAATACTGACTAAACATTCCCCCGATGTCTGTGTGATGTATTACAACAGCAACACAATGTTAATGAGGTCACTAGGCGACATTTAGCCTACTGTTATTTTCCCCGATTAGGCTATATAACCCACAATAGGGTTATATTATATGTATTTATATACTATGAGCTAGATTTGTTTGTTCCACCCCACATGTACAGTTTCTCAATGGAACACCATCATTTAATGACGTTACGATCTTAAACCAACATCCAGGTGACGTATGTGCGTCGTCCAGGTGACGTATGTGCGTCGTCTGGGTATATATGCATTAAGAGAATGGAAACCTCATACATCTCCCCCGTGTCCCTGTCTTTCTCAGCACAAGCTGGAGGGGGCACTCTTGGCTCTGGGGCAGTTCCAGCACGCCCTGTCAGAGCTGCAGTCCTGGCTGAGTCACACGCACGCCACGCTGGACACACAGCGCCCCATCAGCTCCGACCCCAAGGCCATCGAGATCGAGCTGGCCAAGCAGCACGTACGTTCCCTGCCAGTCGGCCTTCTCCTGCTCTGCCTCTTCAGCTCCGTCCGGTCGCATCACCTGTCTCCCTGTTTTGGTCAGAAAAGTGCAGTCAGGTTTAACGGCGCCCCTAAGTGGCCCGTCAGTATGTGCACGAGTGTGTGAGGGTGTCCCGTGATGGACTGGCACCCTCTGCACGGTGGACCTCTGTGCTCTGCGCTACCTGAGATAGGCTCCAGGATGCCCTGTCAACCTGACCTGAATAAGCGAATGGATGGATGGATGGACGGATGGACGGATGGAAGTCCAAGCAGTACCATGTTATTTGCCTGTTGTATTTCAGCTGTAGGTTTCAGTATATTTAAAACTGTATATTAAAGTAAATGTCTTTCTGAAAATCTTAAAGCTACCTCAAAAGCAGGCCTGCCATACACATTTCTTGGGCCTGGGACAAAATCACCCCCATGATGTGTGTGACCCCACCCGCACCCCCCAGCCTGGGGCAACTTCATTAGTTGTTGCCCCTGATAGGGTGGGCCATTTTCTAGTATAAAGGACTGATCTAGCAGCAGCTGACTCGGATGATCAGTGATATGCCGGAACGCTAACCCCGAACTGCGATTTCACCACACATTTCGTGAAAAGCCATCTTATGTCTGTAACATTATTTCAAACTTCCTGAGACACTTCAGAGTTTGATTGAGGCACGTAGATGTGCTGAAAAAGGTCCAGGGCTGGTCCCTTAGCACCCACCTCTGCGGCTCCGCCACAGCCCCGGGCCCAGCGTCCCGTTCGCGTCTGACGTGTGGCTGTCTGAAGCTCGCCCGCCTCGCGTTTAATCAGACAGAGTGACGGTAATCCTTCCAGGCTGCTGTCACTGAGGTGCCTGAGGATGGCTGAGAAAGCCCTGCCGTCTGTGTACTCGTCAGCCATGACAGCGAGCACGCTTTCCTTTATCCCCTCTTGGGCTGTGTCACTCGCCGTGGATTGCGTCAGGTTCCCGTCTCGGGAAAGGCGAGCTCTGCGGATATGAGATGGAATCGGGAATTAGGAATGCTGGATTACTGTCTGCCGCTTCTGCCAAGACACACAGCATTTCCACTGAAGCAAGCGTGACTGTCCAGTGGCAGACACTGTGTAAGGGAGAGGGACAGTGGAGAGGAGAGGAGAGGAGAGGAGAGGAGGAGAAAGGTCACATGGTGGCTGCCTTTCAGCTTCTATTATTGTCTCCCTGTATGTTGCTGTATAATTGCTAAGAGCAAAGCCTTTACCAAACAAACAGGAAGCGCGAAAATGATCCCCTTTCTGTCATATTTAACATACGGCGAAGACCGAAGCAAAAGAAAAGGACGTTTTCTAAAAATAAATACGACGACTGACTCTCTATGGCCCTTGCCTGAAGGTACCATAGTCCCCTCGCGCATTCTTCTATCCTACTCCTTCGCTTATGCTCCCTTCCGGTGTGTGGGGAGCGGATGAAGGCCCCCCTCCTGTCTGCTGTGAGCTTGCTGTGGTTTTCCTCTGGCCCTGTGAGTGACTTTTGCGGTATCCGCCCCCTCCTCACTGGCGCAGGTGCTGCGGAATGACGTGCTGTCGCACCGCTCCACCGTGGAGACAGTCAACGCCGCCGGCACCGAGCTGCTGGAGTCCGGGCCCGGTGATGAGGCCGGCCACCTGCGCGAGCAGCTGGATGCGCTCAATCGCAGCTGGGATGGGCTACTACTGAAGAGCGAGGAGCGACAGAGACTGCTGGAGGAGGCGCTGCAGCAGGTGGGGTGCAAAAGGGAGAAAGATAGATGAAGGATGGGGTTAGAGCGCCCCCCCTACCTGCAAGCCTTGTATTACATATCATGATCCTGCTCTCCATCTCTACTCCTCCTCACTGTTGTCCTGCTTCCCCCACCCCTGCAGGCGGAGGGTTTCCATGGCGAGCTGGAAGAGTTCCTTCAGTGGATGCGACGCACGGAGAGCCAGCTGTCATCCGCCAAGCCCACCGGGGGGCTGCCGGAAACGGCCAGGGAGCAGCTACAGCAGCACATGGTGCGTGAGGCTGTTCGTCTGCACTGATGATGAGGATGGTGATGGTGATGAGTGGGAAGAAGGTTGCCGCTCTGGGTTTGAGACCCCATACTGTCCACATTCTTCACATTCTTTTCATTCTCCCCTGCCTCTCCTCCATGCCTCCCTGCTCCATTCTCCTCATCCTTCCCTCCTTCCTCCATCTCCCAGGAGCTGCAAGCCCAGCTGGCCCAGCGCTCAGACCAGTACCACCGACTGCTGGACCGTGGCGAGTCCATGCTGCTGTCGCGGGGGGGCGAGGACGCCCCTGGAACCACCCAGACCCAGCAGAACCTGGCCCTACTGCAGAACAAGTGGGCCGCCCTCAATGGCAAGATGGACGACCGGCGGGTGAGCCGTCCTTGCTGGCACCCCTGTGCCCCCTCAGCTATCATTTAGCCATTTTTACCCCTCTGTCTTTCTCCCCTGCTGTTGACATGTGCCCCCTCCCCACCTCTGGCAAATGAAACAGTTAAAATGTGTAAACCGACTCGAAACAAAAAGATCACTAATGTGGCGCATTCTTGCACCTGCATTATTTCGCGCAGCTCCAGCGCTGCCCTCCGCCCTGTGATGACCAGCTGCCACCTGCCTATGTTTAGCTGCCGTTCCGCAGCCTGATTTCTATAATTTGCAGTCATGTATTTTTCCTATTTACACAAGTGGACATTAAGTGTTGTATTCCGCTAATCGGTTTGAGCAAAGCCTGTGTGCAAGTGCAGTTCCCCTGGCCCCGCAGCACCTGCTGCTCTGAAAGCTATGCACTAGTAATTAGCATATCAATGCTGCCCCCAGATTAAGCTGGAAGAGGCGGTCTCCCTGGCGACGAGCTTCCAGACCTCCCTGCAAGACACCATCAACTGGCTGACACAGGCGGAGCAGACGGTGAACATGGCGCAGCCCCCCAGCCTTATCCTGGAGACGGTGCTGTCTCAGATTGAGGAGCACAAGGTGAGCTAGCAGAGGGGAGAAAGGTGGGGAGGCTTGGGCTGACCTTGGCCTCAGATAAGAATTTCGGAAGCAAGTGCAATGTGGGTAAATGAATTCATGTGCTCATTCACACTAAAAGCCAACCGCGGTTTGTTCCAGCCATTGACTGAGTGCTTTCACTCCGCCCCAGGTGTTCGTGAATGAGGTGAACACGCACCGGGAGCAGGTCCTGGCGCTGGAGAAGGCCGGCTCCCAGCTCCGCTTCGCCAGCCTCAAGCAGGACGTGGTGCTGATCAAGAACCTGCTGCTGAGCGTGCAGGCGCGCTGGGACAAGGTGGTGCAGCGCTCCCTGGACCGTGGCCGCCACCTGGATGAGGCCCGCAAGAGGGCCAAGCAGGTACGGTGCCCGGGCGTCCCCCGAAGGCGTCCCCCGAGGGCGTCCCCCGAGGGCGTCCCCCGAGGGCGTCTTCGGCTCCGCAGTCTGCCTTCTGTATCTCACAGGTCGTTTTCTGGAATCTGTCTGTCTGTGTCTGTCTGTGTGTCTGTGTGTGTGTGGTGCGTGTGTGTGTTAAGGGCCCCAAAAAGGTTTGGCCCAACTAACTTACTATAATCTTTCCTTCCTCTCTCCACCTTTCCCTCTTTCTGCTGCCAGTTCCATGAAGCGTGGAAGAAGCTGATCGACTGGCTGGAGGAGGCGGAGAGCCGGCTGGACTCAGAGCTGGAGATCTCCAATGAGCCTGACAAGATCAAGGTGCAGCTGACCAAGCACAAGGTACGCATAGCTGCCACTAGAGGGGGCAATGCAGCCCTCTCACCAGCATGGGTTCACTGGCTCAGGTAGTGTTTCAGATGAACCAATCAGATGCCATTTTGATACAGTCAGAAGGACCCTGTCTTGATTTGTGGTGTCGCTGGCTTTGGGTTTAACCCTTCATGTCTTTGAGTAAAGTCTGCTTATCCAAAGCTGCTCTATTGCCGTGTGGCTTGTTCCCGCACATTACCGAAACTTTCAGGATGATTTAGTTCAGTGAAGACAGATCAGCACAAAGAGAAGCCTTAGAATGACAATATAATGTCAGAGGAGGCTGGACGTGGAGAAGTTAGGAGCGTGTCAGAGTAAGATATGACCCCCCCCCACCCCAAACATCCCACAGGAGTTCCAGAAGGCTCTGGGATCCAAACAGCCGGTGTACGACACCACGGTGCGGTCGGGCCGGGCCATGAGAGACAGGACCACCCTGCCAGCGGATGGACAGAAGCTGGAACACCTGCTGGGGGAGGTGCGAGACAAGTGGGACACTGTGTGCGGAAAGAGTGTGGAGAGGTAAGGCGGCCATGCAGGGTGATGTCATGGGGGAGGGAAGGGGTAAGGGCTCCACATTTAGGTGGTAATATGGTGACTAAGGGTGGGGGGGGCACATGCGTCTTCCCTTGGCGTGACTCCAGCTCACTCATTTCCTCCCCGCCCCCCCCTGCAGACAGCACAAGCTGGAGGAGGCGCTGCTGTTCTCCGGCCAGTTTGCTGAGGCCCTGCAGGCGCTGGTAGACTGGCTATACCGGGTCGAGCCCCAGCTCAGCGAGGACCAGCCTGTCCACGGCGACCTGGACCTGGTGACCAACCTGATGGACTCCCACAAGGTACGGCGGGGCCAGAGGACTCGGGGTCAGGTGCTGTGACACCCGCGGTGATGATGCCCATGGTGACGCTTCCGTTTCCTCCGCCCCCGCAGGCCTTCCAGAAGGAGCTGGGCAAGCGGACGAGTAGCGTTCAGGCGCTTAAGCGCTCAGCGCGCGACCTGATGGAGGCGGGCCGCGACGACACGGCCTGGGTGCGAGTGCAGCTGCAGGAGCTGAGCACGCGCTGGGACACGGTGTGCGCGCTATCCGTCAGCAAGCAGACCCGCCTGCAGGAGGCGCTCAAGCAGGTGAGTGCCACCGATGCTGGGTTTGGAATTGGTATCGTTAGGCTGTTCGCTGCTTGGGGCCTTCAGGCTTAAACCTGGCTTCAGTAGAGGAAAGAGCCCTGTCACTTCCTGCTTTGCGTAGGAGAGTAACGGGGGGGGGGGGGGGGCACATGTCCCAGAATCACTCATCCTAAGAAAGACGCCCAGGCACCCAGAATCTGCTGCCTCCCCATCTAATTAGGGAGTTCAGTTCAGTGTCTCACTTAGCAATCACTAACCCACAACCCCTGACCAAACCCCTCCCCAGGCGGAGGAGTTCCGAAACGCAGTTCAACTGCTCCTGGAGTGGCTGTCAGAGGCGGAGCAGACGCTGCGCTTCCGTGGCGTCCTGCCCGAGGAGGCGGAGACCCTGCGTGCGCTGCTGCAGTCGCACCGCGACTTCATGCAGGCTGTGGAGGAGAAGCGGGCGGACATCACGCGGACTGCCGGCATGGGGGAGGGCATCCTCACGGGCTGCCACCCCGACTCCATCACCACCATCAAACACTGGATCACCATCATCCGTGCGCGCTTCGAGGAGGTGAGGAGGGGGAGGAGATGGAGGAGAGGCAGGGGGAGGAGCCAAAGATGAGGTTAAGAGGAGGAGAGCAGAACAGAGAATTATCTTACGTTGACTCTACATCTATAACATCCAGGAGAGTAGTGGTTCCCTCTAGTGGCACATAAAGGTATTTCCTTTTATGATGTCGCTTGTAATGGTGGTGCTCAGAGAGGTTGGTATGTGGGGTAAAAAGTTTGAGATCCACTGCAGTAGAGGATTGGACATGTTGAATTCAGCATACGGACATTCAAAGGAAGCACCGTTTATGAGCTGGGTGTTTGTACAGGTGCTGACGTGGGCCAAACAGCACGAGCAGCGGCTGGCAACAGCCCTGACCGAGCTGCTGAACAACGCCACGCTTCTGGAGGACCTGCTGTCCTGGCTGCAGTGGGCGGAGACCACCATCTTACAGCGGGACACCGAGGCCCTCCCCCAGGACATCACTCAGCTGAAAACACTGATCACGGAGCACCAGGTGGGCGGGGCTTCTCGGCGCACACGCCGGTCGGGTGGCCTTGGCTGTCACGCGTCACACGTGTTTCTGTTTGGCCGCGGGGCAGCTGTTCATGGAGGAGATGACGAGGAAGCAGCCCGACGTCGACCGCGTCACCAAGACCTACAAGAGGAAGCCTGCAGAACCGGCCAGCAGCATGGGCGAGCGACGCGGAGCCCGTGAGTTCATGCGTGCGGGCGGACGCGGCCGTGACCTCCATGCTGCCGCCCCCCTCCCTCTCTGCACTACTGACCAGCCCCATAGCCATGAATACATTGTGGGGCGATCCGGCCACCATCAGTATTTTTTATTGACCCAGACTCATAATTTTGCTACCTGACTTTGTGCCTAATTGGTACTGAAAATGATTTCCGGAGGTATTTTACATGTTTTACATTTGCTACTGGCAAACTGTCCTCAAATAACAATAGCCAGCAGTGAGACGTGTTCCTCCCCCTACAGGCAAACAGCCGCAACAGCAGCAGCAGCAACAGCAGGCGGCGGTGCAGGTCACCGGCGGCAACCCGCGTCTCACCCAGCTCTGCTCCCGCTGGCAGCAGGTGTGGCTGCTCGCGCTGGACCGCCAGCGTAAGCTCAACGACGCCCTCGACAGGTTGGAAGAGGTACTGCACCCGGCTTCTAATCCTCTCTCTTCTCTTTCCTTTCCACATGTTTTCTTTCCCATGTACGCTCTACAGTACTCTCCCAGTATTTATCTCTTCCCGGAAGCTGATAGTATGTGTACGTAGGAGATGTGGTGACATTGTTACAACGTTCTAGGTCAGGAGTAGGATATCTTATCCTCAAAGGGCCAGTGTGTATGCAGGTTTTTGGGGTAACCTTTAGGTCGGCTGTTTAAACCCGGGGATGAGGACTCTTCAGCCAGTCAGTCCTCTAATTAGTAATCTAATTATAGAGCTGCAGCGAAATCTGGCACACACAACAGCCTACTACTGTTCAGGGTCATGGCAGTTTGATCATTTGCAGAACTTCTCTGAAGCCCCCCATCCCCTGCCCATCCAATTTCCCTCCACCTCCATGACCTCTGACCTCTGACCCTCAGCTGAAGGAGTTCGCCAACTTCGACTTTGACGTGTGGAGGAAGAAGTACATGAGGTGGATGAACCACAAGAAGTCGCGCGTCATGGACTTCTTCCGACGTATCGACAAGGACCAGGACGGCAAAATCACGCGGCAGGAGTTCATCGATGGCATCCTGGCCTCCAGTGCGTCCCCAGTCACGCCCACGGCACTCACAGAGACATTAAGTATTTATTATTTCCTGAAAAACAATCTGCTCTGAATATTCTCTCCGCACTGCTGCATGTCCTGCAGAGTTTCCCACCAGCAAGCTGGAGATGACAGCTGTGGCAGACATCTTCGACCGCGACGGAGATGGTTACATCGACTACTACGAGTTTGTGGCAGCACTGCACCCGAACAAGGATGCCTATCGACCCACCACCGACGCCGACAAGATTGAGGATGAGGTGAGGGTGGGATCTGGGCACGCAGCAGATGGGCCACACACGTATATCTTCATCCACCGCCCATCCGGTTACGAGTATTATTATTTATGATGGTGATGACGATCATTTTTACTATTATTGTGTTGTTACTTTGATCATTTTATAATTTAATCTTTTTATTCTAGCTATTTGTATTGCTCTATGTTCTCCATGAATAAAATCATCAACTTCTGGTTCATATCCTGCACCATCGTGGTGCTCCATACTATCTGCCAATCTCATGCACTCCTCCTCCTCCAGGTCACCAGGCAGGTGGCTCAGTGCAAATGCGCCAAGAGGTTCCAGGTGGAGCAGATCGGAGAGAACAAATACCGAGTGAGTGGCCCGTGTGTCCCTGCCCGGGGGCTGGTGGGTGGGGGACCTCAGCGGTCATGTGACCAGCCTCAACTCCAGTTAAAGGAAGAATGTTTTTCGGGTTTGAAGAACAGACTGATTTGTTGCTGTTTATTTTTTAAATACATTTTAGAGTTATCTGCCATTACATTCCTCAGGATGCATTGTAATGTAAAATATAACTAATTCCCCTGTGTTTTATGTATGTGACTGTATTTTTGAAGTTGAATGTTAGGGGTCACTGACATCTGCTGACCTTGTGCCCACCAGCGGCCACCCACCCCCAGCCTGCTGGCCATTAATCCCCCGCCACCCTCCTCACTAACTATATCACCGCATTTGGCATCACCAGGCATGTGGAGGCTAAGGCAGCACCGTGGACATTTTTAGCATACGCTAGACCTAGTTAGCAAATATGAGCACACGATGGACACTGTCAGCACATGTTAGAGCTGGTTAGCATGCACAGCAGGCCCCGTTAGCGTATATGAGCACCCGACAGCCACTGTTAGCATACAGTATACCCAGTTAGCTTGTACAGCTGGTCCCATTAGCACATAAGAGCACAGGCCCTCAGCATGACCCCTGACCTCTGCGAGTCTGCAGTAGCAGTAGCATTCCCACAATGCCGTTCCCACTTGTGTGTACGTCTGCTTCCCATCCGCAATCTAATGATTTCAATTTTGTTATTGTTGCGGTAACTGCAGCCGTTGGCCACCATAACTGTCACTGTGTGTGTCACTTTCATAAATGTCCATCAGTTAATGACATCCTGTTTTTTTTATTTTATTTAATTTAATGTCACGCTAACTGCACCGGAATATGCGCTCCACACTGTCCTGTCCATCCTGTCCATGTTCTGTTAGTCTGTCCCTCTGCACTTGTTCCTGCACCGTCATCACTGACCTAACCAGAACCAGCTATCTTACAAAGAGGTGCCGGTGATGTCATCACGATGCCATGGCAACAGGAAGTCAGCAGGAGTCGTGGGGGAGGAGGGCGGATGTCGAAGGGGGAGTTGTGTTTTAGAAATGGGGTCAGAGGTCAGTTAGTGAGCACAGTGTTTCCAGCACTAGTCAGGGAATAAAAAAACGTTTGTGTCTAAATGTTATTTCACTCTCTTTTTCTTTCTCTCTCACTTTCACACCTCCTCTATGTCTGCCGGATTTATTGTAGTTCTTCCTTGGGAACCAGGTAAAGTTTGCGTGTGTGTCTTTGTGTTTGTATGTGTGTTTGTGTGGCAGAACCCCAGAAATCTGCTCCTGCCAATGAAGGGTTAAATGTAGGCGATTTTAAAAAAGATTCCTTTTCTAGCATCAGTCCATGTTGCCATGGTGATGCGAAATTTCCTGTTTGACAGGAAGTGGAATTGGTGCTCATGTCCAGGCTCTGTTGTGGCAAATAGCAGAGGGAGTATGCCCTCATGTACAAAAGAGACACCCTAACATAGGGGGAGCCTGTTTCACAGGGTGCTTTACAGGTGACTGAGGAATGAAGCCCCAGGTGGACAGTTTGAACTAATCAGTGGGCACAGAGATTTGTGGCTGTGTCAGCAGTTATAAGGGGTGATTTAGCTTCTGTGAAATCTACTGGGATCACAGCCAATTTTCTGCCAATGGCACCAATGGACCCCATAAGGCCCAGAGAGCAGAGCCTTGGTTGTGATATCACTCCTGTTTGTCAACACAGGACCCGGGGGGGGGGGGGTTGATTTAACAGAGCAGATTATTATTGCATGTGTATTTCTGCATGGAATTCGTGTTTAATTGTGACAGGTGTCGGGTTATTCCCCGTCTTTTCTGAGTACCCATGTTATATTACTGAATCTTTCCCAGGTATCGTGTTTCTTGGGTTAATCTTTCCTGGTCATCATGTTAGGCTGGCTAATTTTTCCTGGGTATCGGGTTAACTGAGCTAATCTTTCCCAGGTATCGTGTTTCTTGGGTTAATCTTTCCTGGTCATCATGTTAGGCTGGCTAATTTTTCCTGGGTATCGGGTTAACTGAGCTAATCTTTCCCAGGTATCGTGTTTCTTGGGTTAATCTTTCCTGGTCATCATGTTAGGCTGGCTAATTTTTCCTGGG